TTTACATTTTATTTTTCCTCAGCTATTTTCTTAAATTATTCTATGTCCTTTTAAAATGCTTCTCTAATTTCTTTTTTTTTTCTTTTTTTGGAGACAGAGCCTAACTCTATCACCCAGTCTTGATTGCAACCAATTATAGCTTACTGCAGCCTTGACCTTCCATGTTCAAGCAGTCCTCTTGCCTCTGCCACCTAAGTAGCTTGGACTACAGGCATGCACCACCATGGCTGGCTATTTATTTTAATTTAATTTTATTTATTTATTTATTTTTATAGAGATGGGGCTTCATTATGTTGGCCAGGATGATCTTGATCTCTTGACCTTGTCATCTGCCCACCTCGGCCTCCCAAAGTGCTGGGATTACAGGTGTGAGCCACCATGCCCAGCCTTTATTTTTATTTTTCAAGAAAACAGCATCTTATTATGTTGTCCAGGCTGCACTGGAACTCCTGATCTTACCTAATTCTCCCATCTCAGCCTACCAAAGTGCTATAAATACAGAAGTGAGCCAGCTTGTGCTTCTGCAATTTCTTGAGATGATTATTTTCAATGATAAACAGTACTATAGGAACACAAATCTGAAGGGAATCTGGCTTCTTCTGTAGAAATATCACTCTCCAGGATTTCAAGGTCAGGGCAGGACAGCTACTTTAGTAGTGTTATGTATGGAGGTGCATGGGCTTTGGAGTCAGACAGAGTTAATCCTGAGTCTCAGCCCAGCCAGTTAGTATCTGTGGGTTTCTGCACAAGTTTCCTGGTGCAGAAGAGTTCTAAGGTAGAATGATACTGATTGCAAAATGGTGACAATTTTTTTTTTTTTTTGATGGAGTTTCGCTCTTGTTACCCAGACTGGAGCGCAATGGCGCGATCTCGGCTCACCGCAACCTCCGCCTCCTGGGTTCAGGCAATTCTCCTGCCTCAGCCTCCTGAGTAGCTGGGATTACAGGCACATGCCACCATGCCCAGCTAATTTTTTGTATTTTTAGTAGAGACGGGGTTTCACCATGTTGACCAGGGTGGTCTCGATCTCTTGACCTCGTGATCCACCTGCCTCGGCCTCCCAAAGTGCTGAGATTACAGGCTTGAGCCACCTCGCCCGGCAATGGTGACAATTTTTGATCCCTCCTGTATCCATGCCACTGCCAGATGCTTACAGCTGTTTAGATCAAAATCCAGAATCTTTTCCAAACCCTAGATCTGACTGGCCTTATTTGTTCAGGACAGTAGAAAACTATGAACATGACAGTGAGCAAATTTGGGGCCCAGGCTCAAATGATCTTGAATGCTTGTTTTTCTTTCAGAATGCTGCCATCTCCATGAATAAAACCCATGTTATCCAGCTGGAAAATTAGATACCATGGGGAGGAGAAGCAAGGTGGCCTGTTGACAGCCCCAGAAGTGGAAGATTACCCCCAGAAGCACAGCTGGCTAGTCAACAAGCAGCTGATAATACATGTCTCAAGGAGCCCAGCTGAGACAAGAGGAATTGCCCCACTCAGCTCAGCTTGAATGGCTGACCATCTTAATTATGAACTAATGAGTTTGTATTATTTCTTATACTTCAATAGCTGACTAATACATACACCCAGTGCAGAAAAAATGCCAAGATTCAATGACAAGTTGATTACTAGTTACCTTCTAACAGTGGGCACCCTGTAGGTACTGATTTTTTCCCCTGAATTAAAGTTGGATGTCTTGTAAGAGAATGTTGAGTAATGCAGAAAGACATGTAGACATGTATGCACGTGATTGGTGTTTATACTCACACAGTCCCCCACACCACAGGTGACAGCAAATAACCACAGCCTGACCATTAGGGCCAAGGCCAAATAGCAAAATAAGTTTGCCTTTAATCTATTTTCTACATATCTAAACATTGGAGGTCAAAAGTGTGGACAGCACTGAAGACACAGTTTTATTCTCCTGTGGCACCATCATCCTTTGTTCTCTGATCTATGGAAGAAAGGTGAGCAGCAGGTGGCCAGCAGTGGTCTCCCTGTGGTTATTTTATTCTTGCTGCCCTCCGCTCTTTCTATGGTCACTATGTGTTCCACCCTCAGAACTGAAGAGAGATGTTAGTAGGGAGAGGCTATTCCTTGACCTCTGGCAGAAAAGGTTTGCTGGGGCCCTTCACCCCCCTGACATCAGAGCTGTACTTCAATGTGGCAGCCATTGGCCATGTGTGGCTCCTGGGTGCCTGGAATGGGCCTGGTCTGAACTGCCATGTGCTAGAAAAGTAAAATACAGAGTTAGTTTCAAAGATTTAGTTCCAAATATTTATATACTTTATTAATAATTACACATTTTGCACACATTAAAATGATAATATGAACATATTAGGTTAACTAAATTGTTACAATCAATTCAAACTGTTCTTTGTTCCTTTTTAAACTTTGGATATTAGAAAGTTTAAAATTCACATGTGGCTCACATTTTATTTCAGAGGATTGCCTCTCTAAAATCTCAGCCTTCCTGCTCAAAAACCAGAAGCTGGGAAGTTCATAAAATCTGAAATTTTAAAAGAATTGTTATATTCTTTTCATTTGTAAATAGCCATATAAAGTATTATTTATACATGCATATAACTTTACACACAAATTTAAAGGCTAATATCCTCTGTGGTGGGCCGGGCTCAGCTTTGGAAGGAAGCCCTGCCTGAAAAGGCTGCAGCCTAGGCTGTCACTTTTTCTTCACTCATCCCAGCATCTGATTGAATCTTCTGTCACTCAGGGCCTGAGAGGGTGGGGTTTTAAACGTTAGCCAATCAGCGACGTTGAACTGGGAACCGACCAATCAGGCACGCAGCTGGAGCAGGCCGGAAGGCTTCCGGGATGTGGCGGGGCCTTTATCTCTCGCTGCTGGAGCTCCGGGTCTGGGGTTCCCTCCTCTGTGCCCTCTTCGCCTAGAGGTCTATCCTCTGTGGCCCTGTGACCTGCAGGTATTGGGAGCTGGGACCCCCCCCCCCCCCGGAAGCCTAGAAATGGTGAGAGTGCCGGGTCGAAACTCCAGAGAGGGAACGGGGCTGGTTGGAACCGGTGGGAAGTGGCTTTTGGGGGACTCGGGCCTCCCTGCAGTCAGCTCCACAATCTGCTCCCGGAGTTCTTGCCCAGCTCGGCCTCAGTCCCCTTCAGCCATAAGATGGCGGCTGCTCTGACCGCCAGCCCCGGACGTCCTGTCTCTTCCCTGTGCGGTGACTGCTCTTGCTTGGAGCCCTCCCTGGGCGGCTCTGCAGCCGCAGCGTCGCGTCTCTCCCAGTTTGTGCAGGGATCACGAGAGGGTCGTCAGGGGAAAATCCTGACTCCGGGTGCGGGTTCCGAGTGTGAAGAGCTTTGGTCCGTGGGGTTCCGAGCTCCTCTTTTCTTCTGTTAAAAATGTATGGAAGTCACCCTAAAAATAATCAGAGTGATTCAAAAATTGTCAAGCACCCAGCTGTGGTTTGTAATTTGTGGTTCATGGGCGGGGATGGAAGGAAAGGCTGTTATAAACTGCATGATGAAGAAAAGCAAATTCAGTAGTTAGATACAGTTACGTAGTTTATTTGTGTAATAAAGGGGAAATTTTCATGGTTAATTGGCAGTTCGTAGTTGGTTAAGGCTGAATTTTGTTTCTCTTAATGTAGTAATTTCCTAAAAAATGCACTTCAGTTAGTTTTTTTGAAAGTAGGAATACAGGGACTTGAACACCTCAGTGGACTTGCCTGCCGTTTGATTGTTTTTTTTGTTTTGTTTTGTTTTGTTTTGTTTTGTTTTTTGAGATGGAGTTTCGCTCTTGTTACCCAGGCTGGAGTGCAATGGCGCGATCTCGGC